GTTTCCCCAAAGTAAAATCAATGTTTTAAGTTTATTTTTTAAAAGATTTTATTTATTTATTTGAGAGAACGAGAGAGAGCGCGCACGCACAAGCAGAGGGAAGAGCAGGCTGAGGGAGAGGGAGAAGCAGGCTCCCCAATGAGCAGAGAGCCGGATATAGAGCTTGATACCATACCAGGACCCAGGAGCTAAATGCAGATGCTTAACCGACTGAGCCACCCAGGCACCCCTAAATTTAAAAGAACATTTGTTTCAGCAATAATGAAATTCAAGTATTTTCAGAGTATAAATGTGTTACATGTGAGTGCAGGTTAGTCTAAATCTAACAAATAAGGGATTTTCTGTGTAGTTTATGAGAAAAGGCTTTAGTTACATAAATATTTGTAAAATATCTTTCCATGTTTTAATTTTTTTTAACTTTTAGTAAAACTTCAAATCACATACTTTTATAACTATAATCTTAAATATTAATGATGTAAAATAGGACACTTTAATCAACCTCATTTTTTAATTTTGAATATTTGAAGAGTGATGAAGTTTGGTAGTTTTGTTTGAGGACATATAAACACCAAGTACCTAATCAAGGACTACATTAGAATATATTCCTTCCAAGTTTTGGATGTGGTAACAGGCAGAATTAACAGGCAAACTTGTTCACCATATTGTAGTAATCTTTGATGAACATTAGAAATGCCATCTTTCAAGAATAATTTTTGAAACTTTAGTGTGTTGATTTATTATTGGAAAGTAGTGTCATAAGTAATATATTTGAAACAAGAGAAACACTGAAAATTCTCCTTTATAAAACCTCACATTATTTTAGTATGTATTGCTCAGCTATAGAATTCTCGAGGAGAGTTTGCATACCTAGACCTGTGCTTAGATAAGTCTATTAGGCTATGCTCCCCACAAGTGTAGCCACCATCTGTCACCATACAATGCTATTACAATACCATTGACTATATTCCTTGTGATGTACCTTTCATCCCTGTGACTTATTCATTTCATCACTGGAGGCCTGTATCTCCCACTCCCTTTTGCCTATTTTGCCTATTACCACCCCCACTCCCTTCCCTTGTGTCAAGTGTAATTTTAAATCCCTTGCATTTACAAAAGAAAATCTGACAGCTTTTCACTTTATGTTCCTAGAACATCTCATGTAACACATACCACATTTTGCACAGCACTATAATTATTGGTGAATATACCTTTTAGCATTTATATTTTACTGCAAGTGGTTTTAAAAGGGCTATCACATTTTAGACTTGTGGCCACACTCTCCCACTTGATCCCATAGTGTTAGCACAGTGCGTGGTACATAGAGAAAGCAAAAGAAATTTTATTGGAGATGGAAATGTATTTTGAAGTTAGCTTGTTAAATGCTTTATATCATTAGTAAATCTTTTTTTTTATGAGTAATTTTCTTGTTATGTGTGACTTAATGAGTCTCTAATGCCTTTTCTTGTTTTTTCTTCTCTATGTGTTTTTGAGGAGCTTTGTTTCAGAAATGTCTTGAATGGAAATCCCTTTTATGTGAAACTGATTGTTTTGGTAGTTAATAACATATAAATTAGAAAAAAAAATCATCCCACAAAGTTTTGGGTTTTTTTTAATGTTAGTATGCAAAATTATTGGTTTATCTTTCTATATGTTATGAACAATCTTGTCTTTGAAATTATCTATTAAAATTTATATATAGTTTAATTATTGCAATTTTATTAAATGTGCCCCCAAATTAGCACATTATTTTGGGGCTGTGGGTGAATGGTAGGCAGGCGGTGATGCTGGAATATAAAAACATGTTACCCTCTTCAAATAATAGCTTCTATTCTTCTCAATTCCTTTCCCCACCTCTGTTTACACAAAAATCATGAAAACAAATTCCCATGCCCAAATCCAATGTGAAATATCCTCATAGACATGGTTTAATGTCCTGCTGTGATACCTTAAATCATTACTATAAATAATATACATTTTCTTCTCCTTTTTTTTTTTAACCCTTTCTATAAAGTAATTTTCTCCCACTGTTTCATCAATGTGGAAATACATATCATATGAAATAAACTATTCTGGATTTCACTAAAACCACACTTCACAGTAGCAATACTCATATTTCACTATGGAAATAATTTTCCCTGTTCCTCTGAAGGATATAATGTTATAATGAGGCTGGTTTCCTTTTTAAACATGTCTTTTCTTTTCTCTTTGTCCCTCTGCTCCTACCTAATATATCCATGCTGTTCCAGGTCCTCCATTCCTCAAAATCTAGTAACATTTTTAAGAAATGCCTAAGTATTTTTTTGGAAACTTGCTACATTGTCCCCTTCCTTTGTACAATTAATATCCCTAATTATCCTCTTATATTTTCTTGTTTATTTCTACTATAGAAAGAACAAAGAACATTGGTTTAGAATTAGACATTTCGTTTGAAATTCTTGCTGCATAACATTTCTGATTTTCCTCCTCAGTAAACATGAAATGATATTTTCTGCTTTATAGATTTGTATGGAGAATTAAATCAACTGTATAATATACAGAACATTGCTTGGCATATGATAGGTACTAAAATCATGTTTATTCTTCTCTTCTTTATCTTGTGACTTCATTTCCTATGTTCTGTTTTTCCCACTCCAGCGTGAGTTGTGAAAAAATTGTTCTACTTCATCTTCATTCTCAATATCTACATGGTTAATATTTAGTATATATTTTTAAGTAATGAATAAGTAATTCACCTAGTAGCTGCCCACAATTATTTCCAGTGGCAAAGTAGTTCTGTATATATTTATGTATATTTATGTACGTGTTTGTGTGTGTCTGTGTGCTTACACACATCTAATGCCAATTTTTGACACTCATACTCAATGGACATAGAGGAAAGAAAAGACACAGTAACTGAATGTTGAGAGTAGGGAGGCATTGTTTACTAGTTGATGTATCAGTCATTTTTAGTGTCCTTCTTTAAATGTCCATTAATTATTACATGTATGTTAATGCAATTTTAAATTAGCAGTTTTTTTAAGTTATTTTTGGAAAGAGATACACATTTAAGGCAATTAAGAAGAAGTTCTGAAAAATTTCTTGTAAGTCAGAGTGTGAATAAGAAAAAAATGAAAATATTTTACATGATTCCTTGACACATAGTTTCTCTTTTATCTCAACAACTTTTTTTATCACTACTTTTCCTATTTGTAAAAGTAAAATATTATGAGATTGTCTATTGTATGCCTCATTTTCTTACAATGTGTCTGTGAGATTAAAACTCTTTTTTGTGTTCAGATTTAGTGTTTTCAGAATCTGTCTATACAATAGTGACTTAATAAATATTTTTGAGCTAAACTATTGGATGATCTTGCTTCTTATACATGTTAAAAGGCTCAGTAGGATAAAATAAAAAACTAATGCAATGTTTAATAATTTTTAAGGCATAATAACACTTATGTGCTAGACACCGTTCAGGGCAGTACAAATTTTTATGTGTTTTGTAGAATTCAAGATTCCAAATTCTGGCTCATTTAATGTCATATAGACATATCAAGTAATATTACTCACTCCATTAACATAGGGAACTGAGGCACTGAGGGCTTAAGTGAGTAAGTAGTGGTAGATCTAGTAATTGATATTGGGTGGTCTTGCTCCAGAATCTGTGCTCTTAATTACCATGCTATAAATAATATTGCCAGAAATTCACATAAATCCGTAATTTTGCCTTATAACTATATGGAGTCTTTACTAAACTATCGCTGTTTTGTATAACCCTTTCCAGAAATTTTTTTAAAATTTATACTCAAAATATTAAATTGTTTTTAAATATGTATCAATCACCAGAAGAGAGAAAGAGACAGAGACAGAGAGAGAGGGAGAGGGAAAAAGAGAGAAGGAGAATGACCTAGTTTGTACTGATTGATCCATTTTAAAGGTGCTGACTATGAAAGACATCCTCAAAATTTGGGTCATGCTCTTCAATATTTTTACTTCTTAAGATAAATCTGTGCAGTCTTTAAGAGAAAGCAGCTATATCAGTTTGGTTCAGTAAAATAACTCTTAATGCTAAAAGTTTTTAATGTCTTATATAGATATTTAAAAATTTTAAGCAACATTTCTCATCTTAAATTGTAAGATCCTGGAGAATAGTTTGCATGTTTTATTCAATATTCTATCCTGTGTTCCTAACCCAGTGCTTTGTATTTCACTGGGCACTCAATAAGCTCTTTTGAAGGGCGCCTGGGTGGCTCAGTTGGTTAAGCGACTGCCTTCGGCTCAGGTCATGGTCCCGGGAGTCCCTGGATCGAGTCCCGCATCGGGCTCCCTGCTCGGCGGGGAGTCTGCTTCTCCCTCTGACCCTCTGCCTCTCATGCTGTTTCTCTCTCTCTCTCTCAAATAAATAAATAAATAAAATCTTTAAAAAAAAAAAAAAAAATAAGCTCTTTTGAATGAATTAGCTATGTTTGAGCATAATTAATTAACATAAATCTAGGATCTTCATAGATTAACTTACAAGGATGCTTTGAAAAGTAATACATTCTGAATTGAATATCGGGGCCAGACCCATACATTTAACATTTTTTGTTTGTTTGTTTTAAACTTACAGTAATGGTAATGAATGAATTTTTTCTTTTTACTGTTCTAATGTTAGTATAAATTGTATTTGTGAAAAGTGTATACAAATTAAGTCCCAATTCTATTTATATAGATTAACAAAGTATATAAATCAATTACTAATTTATTATTATCCAAATTGTTGTAGTATGTTTATATTAATTTTTCCCGTGAGACTAAATTATTTATTTCAGTCCGTTTGAAGCCTGGGAAATAAACACTGTGTTGATCATGCATAAATAGCATCCTCTAGGTTACTTACCCGTTTTCTATATGATGCCTGTGTAAATTACTATGAAGAAGGGAGGGAGGTTATATATTATTCTAGTCAGCAGATAAACCTTCAAGGAATTAAGAACAGGAAACTTGCTTTTGATAACCCATTCTTTTTTCCTTGTTTGCAGGATTCAAATTTGGGATATTGGTGTTTCTGTGTTTGAGAAATTTTTTTTTGAGGGATTTTGTTGTTTTTTTTTTAAATCATCGGTCTTGGAATACAGAAGAGGAATCAGAAAGACACTTATTTCATTTCACGTCGTGAACGCTCGCTCTTGAGGCACTCTTACACCCCAGTACACAGCCATGTGGCCATCACAGCTACTAGTCTTCATGATGCTTGCAGCACCAATCATTCAAGGTAAGACCTTTAATTAGATTTTTGTGTGAAGCTTTATTTGTCTCTATTTGCACTAGGTCCTTTCTTCTAAATCTTTACTCAGTGATCTAGCAGCTTTTGCCTACGATATATTAATAGAAGTAAGTTAAAGTAAAAAGACCATAATATGTACCATCAACTGCAATAAATACAACTTTGAATTTGATTTCTGAAAGTAGCTTTTGAAATGTATGTATAACCAATTCTTTGTTATTTTTAAGAACTCTCAGTGTTGGCTACTCTGTTCAATCTTTAATACACAGAATGCAAACTAAACCTCTCATTTAAATGAGAATTATTTTTTCATACATATACTTTTAATGCAAAAAAAAAGCCAAAATGATATGAACATATGCTAAAAGGTAATTTTACTGAAACATGCTAATCAACTCATAAAAAACTATACTTTGTTCATTTAGACATTTTGGTATTTATAACACAAATATGATAGTTAAGAAATGCTATATCTTTGCAAATTTTATAAAAGATAATTATTTATAAATAAGATAAATTCTGTACAACTTAGTATAATATTCATTGAATCTTTCTAAAAACTGGCAAAGTCTACATTTATATTCCTTGTTGACAATTTAAAGTTTTCTACTAATCATCATTGGTTTTGCACTAAGATGAAAATGGTGTAATATAGTCACTATCTCATACATTAATGGTAATTATAGCAAAGAAAGGGACACAGCTATATTTGCCACTCCTTCGGAGGTCTCAGAATAGTAGGGTGTAGCAAGCACCTGGAATCAGTTTTTAGTCTCTTTAGCTCACTTTTGGTTTTTAATTGACTACAAAAAATCTATTATAGTTTATCAGCGATACAGTTCTGAATTTGGCCTATATTCTTGTTTCAACATGAATTATATTCTGCTGTCATTATAAAAACTGGATAAAATACCTTATGTGTCTTTTGATGTTTTCTTCTAAAGTTTCCCTGATTTAACACATTTTTTAAGTAATCACTACAATATAAGGTAGTGCTTTTTTAAGGAAATGAAAGTAAAATGATTCAACCATCTAATTTTAAATGATGTAAATTTGTAAAAACAAATCAAAATGTTTTCTTAATTCATATACTGATGGAGCACTTACTTTCACATACTTGGGCACATATAACATTTTGTGGTATGAGACAATAAAAGAATTATGTCCCTTTAAACAAGTGTTTTTCTAATTATCTGTATACCTAAAGATTATTCTGATTAGGTTTTGATGTTATAAAGATGCCTCACTCATAAGTTTATCTTGAGGATTAAATAAATAGTATACGTAGAGAATCTAGCACAGTGCATGACAAATATATTCAGTGTTTGAACAAGCTAATTTCCTTCATCATACTATCTGCCTCTCTAGTTTATTTCTGTTCTAATAAATTATAACAACCAGAAATTAGCTAACCATGAGAGCGGTTTCATTGCTGTTGATAATCAGGACCGCCCCCCTCTATACACACACACACACACGCACGCACACACACACACACACACACACCTCTCTCCAAGGAATTCTGAGAAGTATTTAAAAACTCCTCATAGAGCAAATAGAAAATTGACCTGGTATATAAAATATTTTGGGCGAAAGTAATCTTTTCTGTTGTATGTGAACTACTTTATCTTATCTTGACTTTGAACCATATTATGCTCCAAAATATAGAAGCTTTCTATTTATAAACTTTATCCTTGTTACCTTGAGTAGGAATTTTAAAACTTCACACCAGAGAAAATATAAGGCCTTCTCTACTGCCTTTGTGATACCACTCTGGATTTGTAAATAGATGGCTTCATATGAATAACCTTTTGGGACCCAGCTTGTTCATAACTAAAGGAATGTATGTACCTCTGATCAGTGCTGATCTTTTAGGATGGACTTTTTTTTAGAGTCCCTAACCATCCTGTCTTAAAGGAATTCCACATAACTTGAAACTTTATAGACAACTGAGTTAAAATGACATTATAGTTACAGAGGGACATACTCTTGTTTCCAAAACATCCCCTGGTAGCATCTCCTTGCCTACTGTTGTTGAGATGTTCAGCTTCATTTGCACTCCTGACCATAGAGAATTAACTTATCTGGGAAAGACTTGAATTGCTCTTTTCTCCAGAGTAAATAACAATGATGACCACTGACTTTTATGGCCATAAACTATAGATGTATTGGTATAATTAATCCTTACAACATTCTCCTGGGTTTAGTATTATTTACTATTACTATCATTATCATTTTTTACAATAAAAACATTGAGATACTGAGCAGTAAAAGAACTTGACTGAAGTAACACAGAGACCCAGAGGAGATTTAAATGAAGGACCTGGCTTCTTGAACTCTGGTCTTTCTGCCTGTAGATAAGCAATTACTATCAAGGCCATTCTTCCCTGCAGAGAATCCCATCTCAAGTCTTCTGGCCATTTGGGAACAGGTGAAACAGAAATGCAGATCCCCTGCTTCTCCCATGTTCTGGACACAGACAGATGAGGCTCTTGAGATGAAATTTCAGCCCTGCCACCTACTAGTTATGCAACCCTGTTACTTGGTAAACTAGTTAACAAATATCCATTATTACCCAGTGTGAGCCAGAAAACCCTGCTAGCTGCCTAAGATATGCTAATAAACAAAAGATTTTAATTCTTCCCTCAAGGAGCTAACAGTAACTTAAAATTTTGTAAGCCTACTTTTTATTTGCAAGAATGAACATTTATTCCACGCAGAGTTATTTCAAGAGGTAGATAAAATAATATACATGTATAGTTTCTAACATAGTGTTTGGCATTTGGTAAATCTTCCTTATATTTTATTTGCCTATCCCTAATTACCTTGAGATGGAGCTAACATTCCGAGCATTAGATAGGGAAGATGCCTACTTACCTGGATTCTCACTGTGCAAATTGAAATGAATTTTTTTCTACTTGAACCTCAGCATTTAAGTTTTTCCAGTAAATTCTTGATACTAGTTTCTATTCAAAATTATTATCAAGCCAGTATGTATGAAGGTTTAGTGCATAATTCTCTCTATATAATAATATAGTATATAACTGTCAGTGGTAGTAGTATATAACTGGTAGTATATAATTGTCAGGGATGCATTTTGTTCATGATTTCCACATGGGTAAAATTAAAAAACTAAGCTAAAGAATTAATTCTGAATAATGTTTACATTAGTTGAATAAGCTCCATATTGTCCTAGAAAGTCTGGCCAGTGTTTAATATAGGAAAACAAAATTAATCAGTACATCCACACTGTATATGTATATATACACAATTTTTAAATTTGGAAATGTCTCTGGTTCTGTGTTTATCTGTCCATATTTTATGTCTCTGTGTACCTCCGTATTTCTCTTTTTCTGTTTTCCATGACTGTGCCCCCTTCCTGTACAGCCATAAAACCCTTATCTATAATGCAATGAAACCTGGCAGAAGTAAAAAGAAACCACTAAAGCAGATGGCCAGTTTTTTGCTGTTAACTAATGTAATGTTGCATGAAGATAAAGGATTTTTTTGTTCTATTGATGTGGTTGGGAGCAAGGGAAAAGAAGGGAATCAGAGAATAATAATCCAATAATAACCTGGGCACTTGGGCGCATTGTGATTGGCAGTAAAGGAATACCAATGTCCAGTGTGATACATGGGCTAGATCTGGTACCCAAGCCATAATGGGTTGGGAGTTGAGAAGGTGGTTGGATTGCTCAGATATCTTAACTGTATCTCCTCTTCATTAAATTGTACTTATGAACTGAGTCACAGTTGAAGAGATAGAAAACAGGATAATTGGAACTTACTGTGGGTAAAGGGGAACAATATATTTTATACTTCTGCATAAAAAATGGGGTCTTAAAAAATTCTTCTATAAGTATCATATGCATACTTTTTTTCTGCAAGTCTATTTTTTAAAGTTGCATGTGTATTTATATATTTGTGGACTTTATAGGCTAACCTGCTTTTTATTATGTTCAAGTAATTATAATAAATAACCATTAGCAGGAACAAAACTGTTGATTATATCCATATATATTTAGTACTCTATGTTTTTGTGTAATTTGCATTTTATTATTAATCTAATTTTACAGTTATAATACCACTTAATGTATCAGTGACTTAAATAATACACATTTTTTAACTTCTAATAAAATGTGAAGCTTGAGAAAACAAAAATACATTTCACTACATAACATCTTACTATATAATTCTCTTTGTGAAGTTATGTTTTATTGATTATGAAAAAGCTTGACTTCTAAGCTCTGCTTAACTTTGTTATTTATAGAAATTAATCATCCTTGGAATGTTTATAATGTTTGCAGGCTAGATAATTTGTAATACTCCCAGTAATATCACTATGTTTATGGTCAAATATGTTTACAAAAAAAAATCTTTGTCATGGTCATGATATATGAGGCTACTGCAAACACATCCAACACCATCTGCATTACCCACTTGGTACTGAATTTCAAAATACATATTTTGTAAGTTAACTATAATCTCTAATATCACAATATAAACCACAAATATGCATGGCTGATAGCTTTTCCTTTGTGAGAACATGTTCAGAAACCTTCCCTACACAGTCGGTATGCAGGTTAGCAGTTGGAAAAGAACTTTCTCTTGCCTTTGCACTTGCAAAATGTGTTATAGATGAATTTTATTGTACTGATACTTTAGAGTAATATGTATATACTTTGAGAGCAAAATAGCATTTTCTTATTTTCAGATTTTATGTCTGACTATTTTAGGATCATATCTTATTTTTTTATATTTCTTGGCCTTGGAATGGACTAGGACTGCAATAGGGTAGATGTACGCTTGATGTAGAGTGAGTTAAAAAACAATTGGATTGCATAACGTATAAATATCTAATTATTTATTTTCCTCTTCTTTGTATTGCTATTGACTTTCATTTTCAGTGTAAGAATAAGTGTTCTCACATGTATAATTTCATATAAGCAGCCATAATACATTTTTCATGCATTTACTTCCTCCATTCT